AAATATGAATTAAGACCTATATTAAATATTTTTAGCAATATCAAAACGGAAAATATTCTCCGAGTAAAAGTATGCGAGGCTAAAATTCCAAGATATTAAATTTAATAAATGTGCAGATTTGCAGAATTATCTGCTAAATATCCTTCCACCAAAAGAAATAGTCCCTCATAAATCTTGATTCTTTGTAGATTTCTGAGCAGTTTTTTCATTGAATGTTAAAAAAATTTACATTGTTGAAATTAAATATGTTATAAAAATTGAATTTTGATAAGTAGTTTTGAAGTAAAAGCTTCTGCGTGAACTTTTCTAAAAAGCTGACGAGTTACTTACCTTAAAGAAAATATCTTTAGGAAATCTTTTTTATTCCTATTAATCTATTTGTTTTTTTAAGTGCCAAACACAATAACTCAATTTTATTGGAAAACGGTTTTCAATGGATATTTGATTTGGAGCACAAGCCACCAATCGCTCACAGGAGAAAGAGGAGGTTGGATCATGTGCCCTGGAAAATTATGCGTAACCTGTTGACCGATCAAATCATAACTACATGATTTGCAACACATCCCTTGATTAAAGCCCTATAACGTGAACGTGTTTGTCAGAAGCCTGCTTTTATTTTGACACTAATAGTCATTAGAGTAAGAACGGAATCAGAATGTGTTCCAAATCAGTGGAGGGACTATTTACACGCGATAAACATGATGGAATACAAAGAAGGAGGGTAAATATGGAACTGCTCGGGCTATCCCATTTGACAGCGTACACATGTATTCGATAGACGAAAATAAATTAAAGTCGATAAAATATCAAATTTGAAACAGATTTAATGTACATTTATGTCAGCGCGTGGTACATCCTACTTTCTTCTATTTCGTTGGAATTTCTACTGAAAATATGCGTAAAAATAAGAATTTTTACAAAGTATTTTAATGTTGAACTAATTTAAAAACTATTTTTACTTAGATGTATGAGTGAATCCTTGTTAAAGATGTTCGACTTTAAGAGAAGAAATAAGTATTTCTTCACTTTTTTCTCAGATTTACCGATAAAAAAGATGTCATGGCGAGAACACGTCTTAAGAAAGAAAAGAAAATAAGCCTATATACATGTTAAATAACTAATTTAGATTTGAATGAAACAAGGTCGACGAAAAAAAAAGTTTTATTGTCTTGCTGAATAGCATATATAATTTGATGAATTGTTCATGTCGGTGTTTTGTACGACCTTTCATAAAGTGTGTCCTTTTTTATGTTTACGACACTTATAACGCAGTATACAACCGTTCAACACCGTGTTTGATACAAATTTGAATTCACTATGTTATTTGTTTTATTTCTGGTACTAATTATATATAATGCGATACAGTACGGAATTCTTGTCTTTGGTGCAAACTTTTACAAAGTGTGTCAAATTTTTATTTGACTTGAAATGCAGTAAAGAACCTGTAAACTTGTCTCCCTCTTCTTCTAACTGGACAGATTGACTGATGGACGACTTAAATATTTTTGATTTTTACTGACTGACCTTTACCATAACTCCTTATCTGAGGTGATAAATGTTTGTTTTATTTTTACAAGATTTATTAGTTGTCTTATATAAAAAAATGTTTCGCTTAATTAGAAGACTAAATTAGGTTATTTTTTTCTATTAATATTTTTCCCATTCAGATTCAGAAAACGTTAATTAATTCTATGGCCTAGAAACGCATATGATTTTTATCGTGTCCTTCCGGACGTTCCTCCTATATGTGCACAGGGTTTACTGCATTATCAAATCCTGTTAATTTGTGATGTCGCATCATGTATGTACATAAATTATCTCTTTTCTTATTGTGCTTGGGGTGTTGTATAGTCTTTTTCCGTTTTCCTTTTTTTTGCTTTTCATTCATCAGGTATCATGTAAATCTTTGAGATTATCAATTAGGAAGAATCATCAATGAATAATATATTTAAATTTTTTTCCTTTTACAATGGGCTTTCCGAAATCTTCAATTTCTTCATCTTTTTTGAGAAGAAACAACCGAAAAAGCCCAAAATCTTTTATTTTTTGGAAATTGTTATTTTTTCTGATGAATTTAACATTCAGATTTTATCCCTAAAATATCATACACGTATCATACGACATAGTTTAAGACACAAACACAAAAATGAAGCATATGCATTTACATTTTCTAGTAAACTTGAAATCAAAGATACCACATGCACAGGGTCTGTACGGAAGCCCATTTCGGACCTATAAAAATATTTTTGAAAATTGCACGAATTGTCAAATTTGTTATAACGAATTCAATTCATTATAACAATTTCTTTGAATATGTTTTAACGATTTTAATCTGTTATAACAAATTTGTTGAGTTCATTATAACGAATTCTTTAATTTGTTATAACGGATTAAATTCGTTAAAACGAATTAAAAAAAAAATGTTAGAACAAATTAAATTCGTTTAAACAAATTCTAAAGTTTGTTAAAACGAATTTAACTCGTTTAAACAAATTCAATAATCAGGACCTATAGAAAAATATATATGAATTCGATATAACGATTTGTCGAATTCGTTTTATGGAATTCGTTGAAACGAATTTAATTCTTTATAACAATTTTTCGAATCTGTTAAAACGAGTTTAATTCGTATAAACAAATTTTTGAATTCGTTAAAACGAAATCAACAAATTTGTTATAACAGATTAATTTCATTATAACGAATTCAAAGAAATTGTTATAACGTAAATTCGTTATGACAAATTCGACAATACGTTATATCGGATTCAAATATAGTTTTCGAAAGGTCCTAAATGGGCTTCCGTAGGGTCTGAAATATGTTTCATATTTAAATGTTCAATAGAAAACAACGTTACTAAACTACCTTTTTAACAAGAAATATTTGTATAAAAACATGGTGATATAAAATTTCATGCCGCCAACTTCCATTTTTAAGCAACAAGAACTCTTATGGTTTAAACCTCCATGCGAGGTTTATGTTATGAACTTTTGAATGAAAAGAATAATATAAAGATACATATACCTGTTTATATAATAATTACAGAAATGCATCTCATCATTTTGTTGTCAATGACTTGTTAGGAACATATGTAATAAATTAGCTTAACAATGTGAAAGATTAACAATATGGCTTTGAATTAAATTCTCTTCAAGCACAGTGACATGTAAAGCTAATTGCAACAAGCCATGTGACACGACATGAAAAAAGAATAATTCTTTCCTTAGCCCGAAAACAAATTTTGATTCCTTTTGGGATATTTGTTGAGGCTGCTCTAAGAGAGAGTATAAACTACGGAGAAGGAGAAATTTTTGATTCTAAATACTAGTATTGTTTTTTTTAGATTCCAGCAAATTAAATAAGTAATATAGAATTAATACTTTACATTGTATAGCAGATTGTGTAAATGTAGTACTTTTGGAATTCACGGTGTCGGCGTCTTTCATGATGAAGATAAGATGACGTACTTCCTTCGCATTTAGATATATAAACACAAAATAAATCTATGGTTAAATTATGGAACAAATTAAGAGGCCAGAAACCTAGCCAAACTGATACTACCGTTGCTTTCAGTTTCAATACTAGGTATCAAGGAAGAAGTTATGTATTCAATCTGTTCGTTATCTAGAGATAGACTTCAACCGACACTTAAGGGTAGGTGTAGATATTGAATAAAATTCAGCGTAGACCAAGGCACTCGGCCCGATGCAATTCAAGATGATGATTGTCGACTCTTGTGTACATGTAATAATCTGTACGAAAATAGTTTTTAAAGAAAAGAAAACGCTCATTTAAGCCAGTCATGATTGATATTTGTTTTAATGGGTTTATTCAGACAGATAAACAAAATACACAATATAGAAACAAGCGTCTATGATTAAAATGATTAGATGAGCACATTTTTTAAAAAAAAAATCAAGATACAAGCTTTCTTTGTAAAACATCAATTATTAAGAATCGAATTGATTGTCTTCTCTTTTTCTCTTTTTTTTCGAACTTCATTGGAACAGCAATGCTCTCACATTTAACTTAAAAACTCTAAAAGACTTCCTTAATGTGAATTGTAAAATGTTTCAATTAATTGACGTTTTCAAAACTATTTACAAATGGTCAATCTTAAAAAAAAAACTTACACAAACGAGTTCAAGGATCGGTTAAAAGTTTTCTTACTAAAATAATTATGAAATTAATTACTTCAGTAATAAGAATTAAGCAGATATTTGAACTCGTGGTTTAATTAATGTTTCAAGATTGATAGAAACACAAGTTAGTTTTTGTAGTAAAACAAAATATAATACCGTTTAAATTAATCCTTAGAAAACACAGTGATATTTCTTATATCAAGATGGAAAATTATAATCAAAGTGTCTTTTACACTGATTTTGAAAAAAAAAGTTTCAACTATTATTAGTTTTTTTTCTGATCCTGTTTGTGCATAATGATATTTATACAGATGATTGTACGTTTACTTGTCATATGTGTGATAGTTACAATAAAAAATATCTTATCAAAAAAATTCTCTGATATTGGTTCATTAGAATCTTGTCACAAAGGAAAGATAGATAATACTGTGCATTCCTAAATATATACGCGTAGAATTAATCAATTAATCATCGCGTTATTTCGCGAGAAACACCACAAGCGATGTAAAATTACTCGTGTCTGTTTTTATGGTGCTGAAATCAATGTTAAATCTTTTGATCAGCCGTCCATTCGCGAATTAATATTCCCGCTAATTGACGTTGAAATGCAATTTCGCGATAATAAGTACTCGCCCAAAAAAAAAAAAGAATCTACAGTAAGACCTTAAAGCTTTAAATGCAAACAGTCACATGTATGGAGGGTATGAAGGTATGCATTTGCGTAAAGGAACAAAATATGAACGAAATAACACATAATCCAAAAGATACTTAACTACCGTATAACGGGTAATTTTTACTGATTCCTGTTGAAATATGGTGATTTTATTTTTAACGCGTTAAATTTTTACGAATTGAGCATGCCCGTTATAATTAAAATCATCAGAGGTGAAGTTCCAGATCAGTGTTTTAGCGTTTTGAATGCGTTAACATACATGTACTTGTTTTAAATGTCTAGAAAACCCGATGTAAAATAAAAACAAAATAGTTCCCTCCCGTGATAACGAGTGTCGATTCCTTAAGGATATGTTTATTCATTTAAATACTTTTATATATCACATGCCCTGAATTTATTCCTTTGTCAATTAATACGATGTTCACGCATCATTATTGTTGCGCACCAAGTGCTCGTCTTCATTTTAATGAAAACAAAGAGAGACAACTCAAGCAATCATGATTAAGTTGACAGAATTACAAGGGACATGGATTGCGATGCATTAAAATGTCGAAGTTTTTACTGGAAGCAAATAAAAAGAAGAAAGGGTCAAAGTCTTGAAAAACGGATATAATTTGAAGACTTCAGTCTGTAATAATTAAGCCATTGTCCCGTAAGAGGAACCAGGTAATTGACGGTGTTTGAATAATTTGTGCATTAATTAAGATTTACTTGTTTGATCCTAATCGATAATCAATTAAAAATTCCCCCAAAATACCATCGAGTGCCAGTACTAATTCTATAGCCTCCAGGTACTTCCCTAAATGGTAATGATAGCATTGAAATACTCTCATAATACGATGTTCATAATTGAGGCGAGGCGTTTTTCACACACTTCTGTGAAATTTTACGCGTTTAAATTTGATGGATTTATAAAACTCGTAAAAATTAGTAAAAATTAGCAGCATGTAAAAAATACCCGTTATTCGGTATTTAGAAGATAATTATCCATATTCTTGGGCATTATGCAAAAATTATAGAATGGATTTTTTATTGTAGCAGCATTCATGTATTTTTTATTTCCACTTGCAATGTAGCAGTCCATCCTTCTCCAATAAAACCGGAAGCCATAACATTGTGTGTGTCTGATTTCATATCACGCCATGTCATGTGGCCATACGCATACCAAATATTATTATCCAACGCAAGAGCTCGAAAGAGATTTTGATCCACATTCCTTCCCTCGTTCATCCAAGACATTGTGAATTTGTTATGACCAAAATAAGGATTGTTAAAATATAGGCAAAATGTAATTCCTAATTCTTTCAGGTCATAGGCAACAATGCCTTTGGGTCCAAATGGAAGAAACTTTGTTTTGTGAAATCCAAGACATGCAAATTCACCTGGCTGGATTACATTTTGCGGACCGCTGTACATTTTCCCATCTTTTTTGTAAACTCTCGGATTTGTTAATGGAGTGTCAAGGTCATTTTTCAGCAAGATGCAGATACAGTGCGCATTCTAAATAATAAAAACTATAAATTTTATGGTTGGAAGTGGGTTGAGATTATTTTTTGTGATATCGTGTTATATCAGTAATTGAATAGGTAAAAAAAATCAACTTTTGACAAATGGCTAAAAGAAACTCACTTTTGAGCTAACTTTGCTGAGAAATTTGCCCAGCTCTACCATCTCTGAGTGTTTGATTCCTGATGCATCTGCCATAACTACCTTTAAAAGAATGATGATAAAAGAACTTCAGCGTAGAGTCGGCTTAGGAAATGAAGAATTAGATTTGTATAGAATTGCAACATAATTATTTAAAAAATAAAAAACAATGTTAAAAAGTTCGCTGAGAAATAATTTTTTTGTTTTTCAGGTGATTAAATCCTGTGAAGCCCGAAGGGCTTCTCAGTAGATTTGATCACGTACCAACTAAAAGTTCTTTTCCCAGTGAAGTTATTAACATTGTTGTGTAATACGTATATTTACATTGGAGACGAATAAATTTCGAGTAAAACTGCATTTAAACGGGCCGCCTTATTGGTATGTTGTGTAGCGCAATGACCTAGAAGTTGTTTGGTCATGAAAGTTCACCCCGCTCCAACATTTGAATGTTTACATTCATGTTTTGCAGTACAGTTCAGGAAATATCTGTATATAGTGAAAGAACAATGATCGCTGCTGAGAATGATCTTACTATTTCATAAGATCTTAAGAACAGACGAGACGTTCCTCAATGATATATGATTTTTTTCCAAGATTTTGTCATTGAAAAATTACTACATCAACGTATTTACTCACAAAAAATTGAGGTACCTTACCAGGCATTTGTGCGAGATACCAGAGGATGACATTTCTTATATAACCCTTTAGGGAAAAAATATGTTTGCCAGAATCACATTTTTAGTGTTTCAAATTTTAAAAACAATTAAAAACCACTTTAGAAATCATAAAGTTATTAAAATTTTGTATATTTTTCATACTTTATGAAGATACACAAAACACATATTTGGGGAACGTATCGTCTGACTTTAAAATATTTGAAGTCAAAAGCGGTGGTATCGCCTGTTTAAGTTTACATTACTCTAAAGGAATTTCAGCTTAAAAAGGTATAAGTGCAGTTTTAGGATAATTATAGTATTCAAACCTTATTCATATCAAAAGAAGATTTATTGTACATCTCGTGATTGAAAAATATCCGTATCGATTATCATTTTATCTTTACATCGGTTTTGTTCCAAAACATGTTGCACCATGACAGAAATATGTAGACAAAACATCATCTCGCTCTGTGATTTGGTCACGCTATGACCTCTGACCCCCACCCCCACCCACCCCATAAAATTCACACAATGAACATATTTACTCTTCAAAATTTTCATCTAAGAAAGATATTTGCAACTGTAAATATTTGAATTTGAACACAATAAAAATATTTTTACGAACTATTTTAATGGCTTAAATTAAGAAAAATATTAGGGAACTATTATTTCTATTTCATCATTTTTTGAACATACATTGTCCATTTGAATGATTAACAAAACTAGCAATTAAATGTGCATTAAAGAATTATCATGATAACGCTTTATTTTCCTCGCACGTGATGATGTCATGACAACAAGAAATAAGTATTAACAAATTAACAAAGACAGCTCATTAAAAATAATTTACCATGCATACATACAGTGTTTGTGCAAGATTATGGCAAGAGGATATCTTTAAACTAGGAGGGTTGTCCCTAAAGTTCATGGACAAGCTTAAAATTAAATAAAAGTTTTGTCATTGATATTTATCATTAGCATATTTCTAATCCTTTACTGAATGGGAATTGAAAAATGTAAAATTTTATTCAATTTCAAATGTTTAATTACAATTATGGCTTCATGATTAGACTTAGAATTGAGACCCGGAGCCCCGCAAAATTTTAATTAAAAAATCATTTATCACTTTGTAAATTTCATTTGTATTTTTTGAAATTCTGCAAAAATCTGGAAGAATTTCATATTATGAGGTAGACAGAACTTATCACGTCAAACCTGCAAAATGTGAACGTTCAAAGTTGCAAAATGGCTGAGCAATCAAAGTTAGAAAATAGTAAGACTGGATCGGAATTGTTAAAAAAAGGGACGTTTTCGGAATAGGTGGGGCAGTGAGCATAAGAAAAACACCTACAGAGACCAATACCTTCTGTAAAGAATCGGGAAAACATAGTAAAAAAGCCGTTCTTTAGAATTTAAGTGGCATATAATATTTTCGGACGGAAGGAACAGTTTACATGATGACATGCGTGAAGGAAAAACCATCATTCCGAGATTTCAGTGCTGTAAAAAATTTATTTCTTAACGTGACTTTGCCGAATTCCGTAAAAAAATCGTCTTTAGGTTGAATGATTGCAGGATATGGGTCAAGCATTGTTAAATATTATTTCACGTATGAAACCTGAACATTTTGTGCACATTTTATGACTGGTTAAAGCGACATAAGAAATGCATTGATTTAAACGGTGGCTATGTTGAGAAAAGTGACATGTGCTCGTATTAAGCTTTTGCGTCGGGTAACGTCAAGAATTTTCGTTTTAGTGCTCCGGGTATTAGTGTGTGTTTTTTTGTATCTGATGAAAATATTACTATTTGTGCTTTGTTTTTGTTGAAAACTCGCTATTTCATAAAATGAAATATGAATTTAATGACAATAATAGTTTCACATATTTTATCACTGTTTGTCAGTAATTATTAATGTTGTCCACGAACTTTACGGACAACCTTCGTATTTTCATCATAATCAAAATTGTATTTACCTGGTAGATGTTTATAAAATTATCCCTGCTTTTCCTTTTGCTTGGAATGGGAACGAGGGTTGGCCCAGAAGAATGCGAACTTTTTGAATATTTCAAATACTATTAATACAAACTAAAAAATATGTTCATACAATACATAATAGCCTTCCGTTTGGAATGAGCGAAGGTTCGGCTTTAACATTTTACCCGTAAAGAAAATACATCATTAAAACACCTTTAAAAAACTATCAGTTTTGACTAATGTACAAAAGCTTTTAATCACTAAATAGAGTAAGAAGAGCTTGCAGATTTGGACGATGCTAAGAATTCGTCAAGAACTGTATCTTTTGTTTGCAGAACAAACGGCTTGAGGGAATTTATTGGATACGAGGTATAAAATAGAGGTAATTTTGGCCTTCAAGTCAAAAGGAGTTACTGTATATGTCTGCATTATTCCCAAAGGTCCACCATTATGCAATTTCAGACATAAAACAAATGATGAAGGATTCCGTATTTTTTTTTTAGATGAGACTCAGCAATGGCAACACTATTAGTTTACATGAATCAAGAAACAGACTAATTAAACATGATCGAGTTGAATTTGACCAAGTGACCCCGGATTGAGAGTCCTGATATGAGTCGGAGATAGCGAAGACTGACCCCCATTTATTCTAGAGTAAAGATTGAGATTTCACAATGTCATTACTATTTATTAGAATGCGCATTATGAGAAAATGACATGTGTTCACAATTAGTAATATGAATGGAAAAATTTACAGGTATGGATAATTAAATATACTAAATGGCTCTTTGCATTGATATTTTGGCATGGACAACAGATAATTGCACAATGTTATTGTAAGAGATTTACAGTTCTTGATACAAAGCACTCTGTAGTCTTTATAATAGCCTTTTTTAAAAAATCTTTTTCTGGTCCGGTGAATTTTTCAATGTTATAGTATCATTTATGATTATTACTGTATTTATTTCTTCTCTTTACTAGACCATCATCAGTTCCTATTTTTAAGATTTATCAAATACAGTAATCAAATCTATTCACATGCTACATGCACATTTATTAAATATTTATAAATTCAACATATATATATGTCTTGCTTACAAGTAGCTGAGGGTCCCAGAAGATGAAAGCGTTGCTTTTAGAAAGTATGTAATTTCTATGCCAAAACTGACAAAATCATTCAGTATTAAATTTTTGCATGCCCTTAATTTGAATACCACATTGACAAATAAAACGCCTTTAATTCTTTGTTCAAGGTTTAGAAACATGTTTGCATTAATTCAATTTAAACAATATTTTATTCACAGATGTTTGCACTGGATTTAGGTAAGTTGTATTTGTATTTTAGTCGAAAAATTATTTTTTCTTTCAAGTTCCTTTATAATATTAAATTGTCTGTTTATTTTTGAAGTTGAAAAGTGTACTTTAAGGAAATGCATGGAATTTGATATTATCATTTGCATTGAGTTTATGTAAGCTTTATTTGTAATTTACTTGTAAAATCATATGGCCTTCCAAATTTCCTTAGTTATATCTTATCGTTTATTTATTTTTGAAGATGAAATGTGTATTTTGATGGGATTGCATGAAATTTGATATGTACTTGATACTTGTACATGTAGTACAAATAAGAAAGAAAGACCATCGGTTTTAAAGTATTAAAAGTAATTTTGACAAGATAACTTTTTAAAAATTCTTCCTTGCTTTAAATTATAAAAACAATCAAATTGATTTGAATGATTGATCTTTTCAAATGTACAGAATTTTACGCAGAGAAACTCACACTTGGTATAAGACATCACGATAAGATTACAAAGTGTCATAGCGAAATTTTGATAAAATTGTACTTTTTTTAAAAAAATTTAAATCAAACGCGTTCTACAATGACACTAGTCAACATGAACCCGAATGTCTCATTCGACAAACGTTTTTATATACATAGAACACAGTTCTGTGGCCTTCTCAGGAATAGAAATGTCATTTAACCAAATAGCTAAAAATCATAATAAAAAAGTACACTTACTCAGAATAGCTCGAGTCTGGCTTGTCGTTAAATCTTATAAAAAGGGGAAAATGTATGTTGAGCTGTCTAAATCACAACTGCTCTGGTCAATTGCTACCACTAGTCTGATTTACATGTATGGATAGCACAGGATTTTAAATCGACATCACAGAATGCAAATAGAAGTAAGAACTAGGAATCAGTAATTATTGTGAGCATGGTGTATACGTATTTGTTCTGTAAATACATTTACAAATGCCTACAGAAAAAAAGGTTAATTTTTTTCTGAATCAGAGTTTTATTGACTCGATCTCACTATCATATACTTTGACTGTATACTACTAATTTTACGCATAACTTTAAATACATCAATCATACAGGAGGAACATCTGCATTATTTACACTA